AACAAAAAAAAAAAAAACGTGACACACCACCACAGGGATGCAGCCAGCAAAATCCAGAAAATGGGAAACTACAAACCCAACCACTTATTTCTTTAGCAAGTGAATTCTAAGAATAGAAGAGAAAAGAATGAGACTTGTAAATTAAAAGACACTACAGAGCATACTGAGCAAACCCAATTCACGGGACTTGTTTGGATTCTAATTTGAATGTATCTAGTGTAAAAAAAAGTAATAAGACATTGCAATATGAATATGTTTGGATAGCTGATATTAAGCAATCTGTATTAATTTTTTTAGAATGAAATAATTTTGCAGATTTTTAATACTTTTAGAGATATGTATTGAAATATTTGTGGATATGATGAACTCTTCTTCAAATAATCTAGTTTAAGGTGGGGAAGTACAAATAAAATAAGACTTACCTTGAATTATTGTTACATAATAGATACATGGGAACTTATTTTTGTTTACGTTTCTAATTTTCCTAATTTGAAAGAGGAGCTACTCTAATCACAGAAGAAGACAGGTAGCCCACAAGGAAGGGAAATATCAGACGCTGATTAAAAATGTTGATGAACAGGTTACCATGGATCTAAAGTTCTGACCTAGCACTATTAGACCCAGAGCACAGCCCGGCTCTACCACATGAGGACTTCAGTCAAAACATATCTCCTGCCTGGACCCCATAGTCCTCACCTTTAAAATGCAGTACAAATGAATGATCTCTAAGCTGTGAGGTTAAATTCTCCCTCCTTAAAATTTCTTCCAGACACTAGGTATGTGCAGGCCCAGCCCTAACTTTTTCTTAATTTTTATTTATTATTAATATGTGTATGATGGGTATGTTTGACTATAGGCAGGTATGAGCCATGTCATGTCTGTGTTCACAGGACAACCTTCAGAAGTCAGTTCTTTCGTTCTGCTGTGGGATCTAGACAGCAAACTCGGGTCATCAGTCTTGTATAGAAATACTTTTATATGCTGAGACATTTCACAGGCCCTCTAACTCTAACTTTTACAGGAGCCAGGAGAAGAGTACAAAACCAGGTCTACTAAGCATGTCTATTTTCTTACCTTGGCCAGTCTATCTTCATTAACTAGAAGCCCATTGTTATCCAAAATTCACAGCTTCCTTGAGATTCCACCCCTGACATCCAGGGCCACATAAAAAACAGCCTAAGTTCATGGCCCAGGCCTTTTATGTCCAGCTCCCACTCTTATCAGGATAAGTCACCCTTGTAGCTACCCTATCCCCCTGCCCAAAATAGTCCTCTCTTAACCACCTCAAACCCAGCAATGCACACATGGATGGCACAAGCTCATGAAAGGGTCTCGCACAGGCCATGGAAGCAGGTGCGAAGCCTGTCAGGGAATTCCAGAGTTTCAGATGCAGAGGCAGAATGCACAAAAGGACATGCATCCTTCAAGAAGGTATGCTTAGAGAGAGGAGAATATACATTGTATGCATGTATGAAATTCTCAAAAGAGTACAAAAACTATATTCAGAAAAAAAAATGTAAATCAGGCATTCTGGAAGATGCCTTTAATCCTCTAATCCCCACACTTGGGAGGCAGAGGCAGGTGGATGTCTGTGATATTGAGACCAGCCTGATCTACATAGTGAGTTTCAGGTCAGCTGTGGCTCCAGGAAAACTCTTTCTCAAAAAGACCAAAAAAAGAAGGTATGCTTGTCCTTAGCTTTGTAGGCGTCTCTCCCTCACAAAAATCAGGGCGATTAGGAAAAAAGGCATTGTAGGGCTTTCTAAAGCCTGGGGCCCAAGCCAACAAGAGCCTTTTTAAATATTTTATTAAATTCTTTGAGTTTCATACAAAACATTTTTATATTCCCCCCCTCCCCCAACTATTCTCAAACCCACACCCCTCTCCCTACCCCTCAACTTCATGTTCTTTCCTTTTTTCCCCACTGAGTCCATTGTGTTGCCCAAATACTCAAGTGTGGAACCAGTCCTGGAGCTTGGTCAGCTGCCAGGGGCCACACCCAAGGCCTTTCTTTATGTTGTTTCTTTATGTTGTTTATGGTTTTTTTTTTGGTACTTTTGAGACAGGGTCTCCCTGTAGCCCCAGCTGGCCTGGAACTCACTATGTAGACCAGGCTGGTCTTAAACTCACAGAGATCCACCTGCCTCTGCCTCCCAAGTGCTGAGACTAAAGGTGTGCGTCACCACATATATCTTAAGGCTTATAAAGTCCAGTTTGTGTACCCAGATGTCCCTCGATGTAAGTTTTTCCACTGGAGCCTGTTCAGCCTACCTAGAGTCACTCTCTTAAAGACCAACTTTCCCTCACTCAGTAGTGATCAGCTGCCAGTAGTTCCTTAGCTAAGGTTGGAGCATCCTGCTCATTTCCCCATTTCTATGCTGATTGAGTTGTGTGGGTCTTGTGCATGCTGTCACCATTGCTATAAGCTCATATGAACAAGTTCCCAGAAGCCTAGAAGACTGTTTCCTTTTGGTCATGCACCACCCCTCGCTCTTCCAATCTTTCTGCCCCCTCTTCCACAATGGTCCCTGAGCCTTGGATTTATGACCTCTCCAGCCATGTGTCTTTGGCTATGTTCACAGTACTACATGAGTTCCCTCCCATTGAGTGGGCTTTAAGCCCAATTAGATAGCTGTTGATTACCCCCAAGATAAAAGTGCTACTACTGCATTGATAGAGTTTGCTGTACTGGTCACTGTTGTGGTTATTAGGCTTTAAAGCTGGGATTGGACCACTGACTGATATTCTCCCTTAGCAGCTAACATAGTATCCTCTGAAACTATGAGGCAGCTTCCAGGATGGTCCCAGCTCCATTGCTCCAAGTCCTGTGTCCAAAGCATGTCTTGTCTTCAGCAAAAAAGGTCTTACCTTCAAGTTCTGTAATGAAATCAAAAGCTGTGGCAATAGCTTATGTTATTTGGGAGTCTCTTGGACTACCCTGGCCAACAACTAGAAGGAAGGTTTCTCCTGTCTGGCACTGTGTTGTTATATAGCCTTTAGCTATATACATGGATATATATAGATAGTATAGATAATTTATGTGTATTTTTGTAGTAGGCTTTTGAACTAATGCATTTCCCTCTGGTTTTTCACACCACCTAACCATTATTTGTCTCTCGTCCTTCTCTCCCTGTCTAACCCTCTTTCTTCCCTTCCCAGTTAAAGTATCCCATGTTCCCCACCTTCCCTCCCTGTTTAACTCTCTCTCCTCCCTCCCCAGTTAAAGTACCCCCATTTTCCCATTGATAATACCTGTTTCCTATTACCCCCCCTTCCCAGTTAAATACCCCCATTTTTCCCATTTCACCCTTGGTAACACCTGTCTCCTACTATCCCTCTCCCTCAGGCTCCTTCTTTTCCTTAGCCTCCATGGTTCCTTTCCATTTTCCTGGCTCTTGTGATTACATATATATTCACATATAAGGATTTGGTGCTGAAATCCACAAATGAGGGCGAACATGTCACTTGTTTTTCTGAGTCTGTGTTACTTCACTTATTATAACAGTTTCTAGTTCCATCCATTTACCTGCAAATTTCATGATTTCATCTTTCTTTACTGCTGCACAATGTATTTTGATAATATTTCCCCCTTCCCCAACTCTTCTACAACCCATCTCCACCTCACTACCCACCCAAATTCATGTCCCCTCCACCCTCTGCCCCCCATCATCAAGTTCAATTTGTGTTGCCCAAATACTCTAGTGTGGAATCAGCCCTGGAGCTTGGTCAGCTACCAGGGACCATACCCAAGGGTCTTTCTTTAGGTTGTTGTTTTTATTGTCATTTGGGGGGTTTTAAATATTTTATTTATTATTTTTATTTTTATGTGTATGAGTGTATTGCCTACATGTATGTAAGTGCACTGTGTCATGTAATGCCTACAGAGGTCAGAAGAGGGCACTGGATTCCCCTGGAGCTAGAGTTAGGGACAGTAGTTTGCACCATGTGGGTGCTGGGAATCAAACCGAGGTCTTCTGCAAGAACAGACAGTGCTTTTAACTGTTGAACAATCTCTCCATCCCCTTTCCTTCTTATTTTATTTTATTTTGGTTTTTTGAAACAAGGTTTCATTATGTAGCCCCAGCTAGCCTGGAAGTCACTATTATGTAGACCATCCCAGGATAGCCTTAATCTCACAGAGATCCACCTGTCCCTGCCTCTCAAGCTCTAGGATTAAAGGTGTGTACCACCATGGCCAGCCCAAGAGTCTTTCTTTTATTATTTTTTATTTTTTACTTATTTGTTTTTATTTTATGTTGTATGAGTGCTTTGCCTGCATGTACTAAGTATACCCATGCATACAATGCCCTCAGAGACCAGAAAAGGGCATTGGGTCTCCCTGAACTGGAGTTAGGGCTGGTTGCTAGCCTGCCATGTGGCTACTGGGAACTGAACTCAGTCCTTGCCAAAATAGCCAGTGTTCTTAAGCACTGAGCTATCTCTCCAGCCCCCAAGGACTTCTCTTAACCATTTAACCACGCCTCAGAAACTGTGAACTTGAGAGTTTCATATAGTCCCTTTACTTTTCAATGCAATTTTTAAGTCTTACAGGTTAAAAGTTTGGGGATTTGTTTATATTAAAAGTTTTTTAGAATTAAAAGATGGTGGGGGGAAAATCCTTCTAAAAACCAAGTTAGAGGCTCATGAAACTCTGGAAATCCTCTTTATGAACATCAAAACTTCCCTGCACACTCAATTTCTTAGAAACTGGAAAGTTAAACTCTTCTATTGTGAGTTAAGTACTATATATCTGGGACACAATATACCTCATATGACAACGGCACAGGCCCCATCTCCAGAAGGAATCATCTTCAGGGAATGGGAGGAGCACCTAGGCATATCATGGGGTTCCCCATAGGCCAAAACCAGCTTGCTAGCACTCCAAACATTCCCCAGATTCAGAGTTACAAGACACTCAGAAGACAGATACAAAGAAATGTTATCACCTCTCCTCTCAGAAACAGAAAGCTAGTCTTTTGATGGAAGTGACTGTCTTTAATTTGAAAATCATTTTATCCTGGAGAAGTCACCTGTATTAAAAGGATTAGGGTTTTTCCCTCCCTCATTTATGTTAGAGGTAAGTAGAGCTGAGAGAATAAAGTAGGGTCTCTACACTTGCTCATGCCCTGAAAGATCCAGAGAGCAGAACTCCCTCCTATCTGCCTTAGATCCAAGGTCATTGTGGTCAGAAAGCCAAGTATCCTGTTCTGGCTAAGGTTGCTCCAGAAGATGCCTTCAGCCTAAGCCTCCAGAGACGCCTCACTCTGTGTCCCAGAGGGATGGTCTTCCTCATCCTCCTCAGCCTGAAGAATCCTCAGTAGTTTGAGCTCAGGGTTCCAGTCTGTTTCACTCAAAGTTTCAAAGTGGCTCCTTGAGTCTTGTCTGGAACCCAGGATGCCTATCATAGCCTCCTCCGGAGCAGTGATGTCCTTGTAAATGGACTCTGTCTCATATATTTCAGAACCTAAAAGAAGACCCAACCATTAATTGTACCTGCAAATGTCTCTCAAATAACTGTGACAGGTGAGGCATGGAAAAGGGAAGGCTCTGTTCAGGATGTCCCAGAAGGAGGAGTATTGTGCCCCCCAAAAGGTAAGTCATCCCAACTAGCCCAGCGTCAAGCTCACCCCTCCTCAGTCACATACAAGGTCCCTTCACCTGAATGACTTACTTTCTGAACTAATGGAGGAATATGAGTAGGTGCCATCATAGTTATCCTCTGTGGAAACCTAAAATTCATTAAAGAAGAGGAAATGTGAATCAAGGTTTTAGGGAACTAAACGTTTCTCTAGAAGACACTTTTCTTGGAGAAATTAACATCTAAGACAGGATAAGACCCACCTCCTGGAACTGAAAACAAGCCTATACCACACAGTCTTGGCTTTCTGAGTGATCCAGATGAAGCCAGTGCCCACTTCTCTGCATTCCCAGCAGGACACCAAGGGCAGACCATGCCCAGAGATGGCTGTCCACTGAACTCCACATGCTGTACCTCTCACCAAGAGATGTGATCTATTTCCATTCCTATGACTCTGGGCTAAGTTATAGCTTTCTTGACTAATAGAAGATGCTGAAAGTGACACTGTTTTAGCTCTACATCCATCGCTTAAGAAAGTAACTAGTCTGTCAGTAAGTACCAATAAATCACATAGAGGCCTCATGGAAGAGAACACAGGCTTCTTGGCCCATCACCCCCTCCCAGTGGCAGTGAGTGACCTCAAGTCAGAGAAGAATGACTGTTCAGTTAACTGACAGATTTATGGGCTAGGCATGGTGACAAGAGCCTGAAATCCTAGTCTTCTGAAGGCTGAGGCTGGAGGATCAAAAATCTGAGCCCAGGGGCTAGAGAGACGGCTCAGCGATTAAGAGCACTGACTGCTCTTGCAGAGGACCCAGGTTCGATTCCCAGCACCCACATGGCAGCTAGAAACCGTCCTTAACTCCAGTTCCAGGGGAATGTGAAGCCCTCTTCTGACCTCCACGGCATTGCACAACACAGGTGCACTCACATACATGCAGGCAATACACTCATACACGTAAAATAAAAAACAATAAATAAAAAATTTTTTTTTAAATCTGAGCCCAAGTTGGACCAACTTTTTTAAATGTGTATTAGTGTGTTTTGTCTGCATGTATATAAGTACATTATGTGCATACAATACCCACAAGAGGCCAGAAGAGGTTGCTGGATCACCTGGAATTGGAGTTACAAATGGTTGATGGCCACCTTGTGGGTGCTGGAAACCGAACATGGGTCCTCTGCAAGAACAGTGCTCCTAACCACTGAGTCATCTCTCCAGCCTCTAGGCCAACTTTCAAAACATACTTTACAGCCAGGTATGGTGGTACATGCCTTTAATCCCAGCACTCAGGAGGCAGAGGCAAATGGATCTCTGTGAGTTCAAGTCCAGCCTGGTCTACATACTGAGTTCCAGGCCAGCTGGGACTACAGGGAGACCCTGTCTCAAAAGACCCCCCAAAAAATTTTACTTAAAAAAATTTTAAGGGTGCTGGAGAGATTGCTCAATGGTTAAGAGCACTGACTACTCTCGCAGAGAACCTGGGTTCAGTTCCCAGCACCCACAGGTAGCCAACAACCATCTATAACTCCAGTTTCATGGGATCTGACACCTTCTTCTGACCTTCATGGGTACTATACAACACAGGTGCAATGCAGGCAATACACTCATACACATAAAATAATAAAGCATTTTTTAAAAAGCATCAAAACAGTAGGGCCATGCATGGCAGCACTAGCCTTTAATCCCAGTACTTGGGAGGCAGAGGTAGGCAGATCTCTATGAAGAGATAGTTCATTGGTTAAGAGCACTGACTGCTCTTCCAGAGGGCCCGGATTTGATTCCCAGCTCCCGCATGGCAGCTAACAACCATCTGTAACTCCAGTTCCAGGGGAATCCAACACCCTCTTCTGACCTCAGTGGGCACTGAACAATACGGGCACACTTACATACATGCAGGCAATGTACTCATACACATACAATCAAAATAGTAAATAAAATAAAATAAATTTTAAGCTGGGCACTTCAGAAGCAGAAGCAGCCTGGTCTACAGAGGGCGTTCCAGGCCAGCTGGGGCTACAAAGGGAGACACTGTCTCAAAAACAAACAAAGAAAGAAAGTTTGAGGCCAGCCTGGGCTGTAAAGAGATCCCGCATCCGAAAAACTAAAAAAAAGAAAGAAAAATCAATCAATACAGCTTTACTTGTGGATCAGTTTGCTATCCGGTAAGAGACGGCGGACACTGCACTTGGCAGGAGCCTTGGCATGCACTCACATGTTTTGTAGTGGCTTTCATCTTCGCCTCTTCCTGCTTCCCCTTCTGTTTTCTATCACTGTCCTGTCCTGATGGAATTTTGAGACCTAGTAAGCACAAAGTCATTCAATCCTCTTCCTGTTGGCCCATTGCTGGGCTTCTAGTTGACCCCTAAAGCGACTCACTATCCAGGACGAGACAAGATCTAGGTGGCAGATAAGGGCCTTCTGAATTCCTTTGTTGTTGGAAGTGGAGCACACACACACACACACACACACACACACACACACATATGTATGTATGTATATATGTATAAAACTAATTCATAAACCTGTTGTACTTTTTTATGAAGCTCCATGTAACGTTTTAATATATGTGTAAGCCTTCTGCATTCTGTAACCCTGTTTACCTAGGCTAGAACCACATCTACTAGAGAATTAAATGTGTATTAGGAGACTCAGGAGTCCTCAAAGAAGCATGAAGGTGGGTACTTGCACATATCAGCAACAAAAGAAATGCAGCTCTAAGATGGGCATGGTAGTGCACTCCTATTATCCCAGCACTTGGAAGCAGAGGAAGGAGGATCGAGAGTTCAAGGTCAGTTCCTTTCCCATTGGCTCTCGTTGAATCTTGGCCCCATCCTGCTGAGGCTGCTAGAGAGCATCTGACTAGCCAGGATGGAGACTATTACGGAGTTCCAGAACCAGTCAAATGCAGAGAATAAGTGCCTGTGACATGCTTAACCCTAAGTGACACATCTTCAATGCAACCTCTACACATAGGATGAATGCATCTCTCAACTCTCACCAGAGAAGTTTCATTATGCAGCAGATGGTGATTAACAAAGAAACCCACAATTGGCCAATGTGCACAGAATAAGTAGTCGCAGAGTATCCCTGAATAGGACACCGATTTCTTTCTTTAAAAAAAACAAAAAAATCTCGCCATGTGTGGTGGTACATGCCTTCAATCGCAGCACTTGGGAGGCAGAGGCAGGCAGATCTCTGTGAGTTTAAGGACAGCCTGGTCTACATAGTGAATTACAGGCCGGCTGGGACTACAGAGAGACCCTGTTTCCAAAAAAAGACCAAAAAAAGTCTTATTTATTATTTTATTTTATTTTATGTGTATAAGTGTATCGTCTGCATGTATATAAGTGCTATACCTGTGCTATACCCGTGGAGGTCAGAAGATGGCATCAGATCCCTGGAACTGGAGTTATGGACAGCTGTTAGCCACCATATTGGTGCTGGGAATTGAACCTGGATCCTCTACAAGAGCAGCCAGTGCTCTAACTGTTGAGCCAACTCTCTAGCCCCCAGGACAGCTATTTCAAACTTCTGCTTCCTAAAGCTCAGGGATCATTGTGGAAGAAGAGGCAGAAAGATTTTAAGAGCCAGAGGGGGTGAATAATAACAAGGAAACAGAGTCTTCCAGGCAGCTGGTCAGTTACACATACGAACTCACAGCAATGGTGACAGTATGTACAAGTTCTATGCAAGATCAAACCAGACAAAATTCCAGCATAGACATGGGGGAGTGAGTAAGAAATCCCTACCCACTGTAAGGAACTTTTGACAATTGATGGCTGCTGGGAGGAGGAAAGACAGCATCTACAGGGATGGGACTCTTGGTAGGCTTAGTGGATGGACCCACACTGAAGGACAGTTGGAGCCACAAATCAGACTCTCTAAGTTGTATTATACATATGAGAGTATATCAAATTGGACAGAGGTAGTTGGGGTGGTGCTGATAGAGGAGGAGACCTAAATACCATAAAACTATATTGTACAAAAAATAAATAAAAAATAAAATTATAAGAGTTCCAGGTCAACCTGAGCTACACAGCAAGTTCTGGGACAGCTTGAGCTACATGGTAAGACCCTGCCTCAAAGAAAAAAACTGTTAATGCACATTTCCATTTGTAAATACTCCCTGTGCCAGAACATACCTGGCCCTTCTCTTGTGCCATCCCTAATGTACCCTTCATTGGCCTCTGAATAAAGACTAAGCCGGGCATGGTGGCATGAGCCTTTAATCCCAGCACTCAGGAGGCAGAGGCAGGCAGATTTCTGTGAGTTCAAGGCCAGCCTGGTCTCCATTAGTGAATCCAGACCAGCTGTGGCTACAGGGAAACCTTGTCTCAAAAAGACCAAAAAAAAAAAAAAAAAGACTCTAGGTTGTTTCTTTTGTACAAAATGTTTTCCCAACCAGACCCTGAATGCACTTACCCCTTCTTTTCTCAATCTCCATCTCTAAAAAATATTTTTCCAAGTTTTCCATGAGAAGCATTCTCCTAAAACTGCTAAAACAGAACACTTCTGTTCTGTCAGCTCTCTACTAGCACTGGTTCTCACCTTATCTGAATACTGGGAGCACTGGGAAGCTCTACAAGACACTGGGGCCTGGTTCCCAACACTACAAATTCTAATACATGTGGGGTGTAGCCTGGGTGTTGAGTTTTAAAAGCTTCTCAGCTGGCTTCAGTGTACAGTCAGGGTAGGCCCACTGACCTGGGGGACAAAGGTCAAAAGTATTTACAGTCTATGCATGCCACTATGTCTCCTGTTGGCCTGATCCACTACTCTCCCTTTAATACTTATGGTCATGCTGAAGTGATGGATGTTCCCTAAGTAGCCATACTCCTCCAAGACGCCTCCACACAGTCTAGTCTCAATTCCAGGAATTCTTTTCCTTAGCAGGAAAACCCACACATGGTCAAGATCCAATTCAGAAATCATCTCTTCTGTGAAGCCCTTCTCAGCCCAAGAAGAACAGGCCACTGCCCTAAGACCATAACTCAGAGGCATTCCAGTCACCCAAACAAAACAGTACCTGTTGGGGGCATCAGAAAGAGGCACAAAAGGCACCAGAATAGAATTGTGGGAATGGAAGTCATCACTCAGATGGGGACTCATTTTGGACAAATCTCCCACCCTGGGCCAGAGCCTTTTCTACCTCCTACACGAAGGTCAGGACGCTTCTTAAATCTTCAGATTAAGAGCATTGCTGGTGTCAGAGACCACAGTGAGACGGGAAGTAAAGCAGAGGGTAATGTTCTTCCAAGGGACATCTCACCTGCTCCCTCCCAGGAACCCAAGATTGCAGAATGAATGCTGATCGTTCAATTGTTTTCACAGTAAGGCCAGCAACACACAGTCTGGGCAAGGTGGGACAACCTTAAAAGATTCAGGAAGAGGCCAGGTGTGGTGGCATATGCCTTTAGTCCTAGCACTTGGGAGGCAGGGCAGATGGATCTCTGTGAGTTTGAGGCCAGCCTGGTCTATATAGTGAGTTCCAGGCCAGCTGGGGCTACAGGGAGACCCTATCTCAAAAAGACCAAAAAAAAAAAAAAAAAATAGGAAGAGTCTTCCTTGGTCCCTCCCACTCTGCATTCAAGTTGAGAAATGCTAGCAGGACAGCTCTAAGTATATCCTCCTCAGCTCAGACAAGGTCAGGGCTCCAAAAACAGAGGTACTATTCTCCAATATGACCACAGAGGAAAAGGCTGCCTGTTGAGTACCAGCAACTGCCTACACAATGTATTGATTGTTATCTGAGCCCCTGAAGCTCCAGCTTTTGCTGGGGAAGCCAGAGGGCCCTTGAGAGACGGGATCTGGCTGTACAGCCAAGCTGGTCTTGAACTTTTGATCCTTCTGCCTCAGCCTGAGATATACTAGTATAGACATATATCACTACACCCAGCTTCCTCTCTTTCCTTTCGAAAGTAAGACCTGAAGAAAATATGAGGAAGATTTAGTCATCTCTCAAACCTCCACTTGACGTAGACAGTTGGCCCAGCTTGCTTGTTTAGTAACTAGTTCAAGAATGGTGCTGAGTAGACCAGCCAGCCAGATTGAGCATTTCAGAAACATTCTGAGTGCCTGACAAGGGCAAGTCTCAAAACGACAAAAGCAGATTTGACTTATCTGCCCTCAGCTACATCCTGGGATTCTATCACTTGACCAAGTGCATAAATAATGGCAACCGAACGCTTACCCAAAGTGCTCTGGACCTCGGTATCACTCTTGGCTTTCTTCTTTGTATCCTGAAACCCACATGAGGAGAAAGTGAATTAGGACTTTGGGGAGAGGAAAAAAACTTTTGCAAAAGGTCAAAAAGAAAGAACCTAAAATTACAAGCAGACAGCAATGCTATATCCATAACCAGACAGAACAGGGAGAAGCCTAGCTCTTTACTCCTCCCAGCCCTGCTGCAACCCGCCCCTGCCAGGCTTCCCTCACTGACACTCTACCTGTTTCTTAGTAGGGGTTTTCACCTTCCTCTGCTGCTGCCAATGCGGCTGCGGCTGCTGTTTCCTGTAACCTGGTGAGCAGAGGGGCCAGCTCAGTCCTGTTCCCACTGAGGGCCCACAGCCGTCTGTTTGGCTACTGTGACCTGCCCCCACTACCATGACTCTCCTTCACTGGTCAGGACAAGCAGAGCTGCTGCCTGAAACAGGTTTCCTGAGTTCTCCATGGAACCCCTGAATGACTGTGGTAACAAGCACAACTGAACAGGGGACCAAGTTAAGGAAATGGGGGTCGGGGAGGGAGTGTGGTACCTGAAGCACCAGCACCAGCAGATCCATCTCTCTTCAGGTGATAGTGCAGTTTCCTCAGATATTCAGGATATCGCAGCGATGGTCTCTGCAGGAAAAAAAAGAAGCAAAGAGCGCTTGTGTGGATCTTTCCTTTCCCCCAAATGCATTTATTCACAAAGTCCACAAGCACATTTTGAGAAACCAATGTCTTTACAGCATTGTACTGAGGGCTGAGGAGAAAGGGAAAGTGTAGGAAATGGAGTGCAGGAGACCCTGAGGCAGTGCTCACCTCACCCCTCGGCCTACACTGCCTTCACCTCCACACAGTCCAGCCCTCCATGAGGCCTGGGTCCACAGTGGCAGGGCAGAAGGAAGAGTGAATAGGAAGCTAATTCTTAGCCTTGAAAAGAGATGGCTTGATACTCTTGATCCTCTGAGACACCGGGGCTTACCTGCAGGGTGAGGCGGTGGATAGTTAGATACATCTTAGAAGAAATGGCGCTGTCAGGCCGGTCCTTTTCCAGGGGATGATTCTTTCTCATCTTCGCCACCTCTGTCTTCACCTCTGGACAAGGCATGCTTTTCCCTCCATGTGCCAAAATGCTAAAGGGACCAGAGACAGCCATTCTGTCAGCGACAGCTCTTCCCAGAGAGAGTGGCTGAGGAGAAAGATGAAAAGAGCTCACCAGGCGTGGTGGCACACACCTTTAATCCCAGCACTCGGGAGGCAGAGGCAGGCGGATCTCTGTGAGTTCAAGACCAGCCTGGTCTACATAGAGAGTTCCATGACAGCTGGGGGCTACAGGGAGACCCTGTCTCAAAAAGACAA